TTAAGTAACTTGTGCATTGTTTTACTTGCTTGTTTTTGACGTATCCGACCGAACTACAAACTTTCCAGTGATGTCTGTGAGAAAGGTGTATTCACTCGACAAGCTCGCGCATCTGCGCCGCCGCATGCTCAATCCACTCAGCGTGTTTATCAGCTCGCACACATCAGCTATACAGACGTTAATACTGAAAGTTTAACATTATATTCATTGCATACATATACTTCGTAGACATCCTTAATCTCTTATAACTCCATTCCGCTGTCTGTTGTTCTGTTGTCGGTGTTTCTTTGTCTGAATATGGCACTGATCACAAGCTGTGTGGTATCGGCGTTTGGTATCGGGGCATTTTAACGAGTACAGAAGCTCGGTATCGGTGCATCCCTAGTTTTTATATTTCAGCCAACTTTTACTCCACTACATTTCCTAATTAAAATGTATAGTTTTACTCCGATACATTTCCCCGAAGCATATTCGTTACCTACTACAAAACAGACAGAAGTCAAAAGAACACTGACTACAGGAAAGCAGGTTTGATGAATTAGTGGTCTGGGGTCTGCAAGATACACTCCTAAAAACACCTTTGTTCATGTGCAAACAAGTGCATGCACAACCGCGGATGATTTCATTTTTCACTCAAGTCGAGTCTGGGGTATGTGATAATATGGTAAGTGTTGTTGTAATGATGTGCGATCTGACATTATATAGTATATCACCAAATCACACACAGAGAGTGCATGCACGTGATTTATTAGTCTATTAAAACTCAAAATTCAAGGCATTCTAAATTCTAGATGGCAAAATTCTTCTGTATGCTTTTTATATTTATATAATTTTATATAGTTAACAATCTTTATCACACAAGTACCGTTTTTCTGCAGATATCAGCATGATGACAAATTTAATAATCATTTTATACAAGTTCAATAAAGTTAGCAAAAAGTGACTTACATTTTAGACACACTATTGCCTGTTTTTGCTCAATTTTGCCAACGAAAATAGTTCCAAACAAAGATCACAGCACTGTTTGGCGTCTTGCAAATTAATCGGTTGAATCTCAATGACTCACTCACCTGCCACCTACTGGCGGTTTTAATTTCACATTTCGACTATTTTTTTTTTTATGTTTTAAATCATTTCAAATATCAGTATTCAACGTTTTATGTTAAAAACTAAAGATTATTTATCCATCTGTAACTGCAGGTTAAATGCTTCCATGCCCCCTCTGAGATACATTAAACTGTGTAAATACATCTAATTGCTATTTCAGATGCAGACTGCAGAAATGTTTTCTTATGTTGGAATGAAAGAGACTAAGTCCCGGATGAAGTGCTTCTTATTCTTACCCAAAGATACAAAATAGAAGAAAGAGTTAAAACTGAACAGTCTTGCTACCACCTACTGGCGGTTTTAATTTCACATTTCGACTATTTTTTTATGTTTTAAAATAATTTCAAATAACAGTATTCAGCGTTTTATGTTAAAAACTAAACATTATTTATTCATCTGTGACTGCAGGTTAAATGCTTCGTCAACTCTGAAATAGGCCTACATTAATCTGTGTAAATACATCTAAATGCTATTTCAGATGCAGATTCCAGAAATGTTTTCTTATGTTGGAATGAAAGACACTAAGTACTGGATGAAGTGCTTCTTATTCTTACCCAAAGATACAAAATAGAAGAAAGAGTTAAAACTGAACAGTCTTGCTACTCAAGCTGCGTATGAACATTATATATTTGCATTTACTTGTACTTTTACTTATCAATACTTAAGTACGTTTAAGATTAAACAAATACTTTTTTACTTAAGTACAATAAATATCACATACTTTAAGACTTTTACTCAAGTAATATTCTAAGCAGTGACTTCAACTTCTACCAAAGTCATTTTCTGGTAAGATATCTCTACTTTTACTTGATAATGACTATTGATACAACTATGTATATTGAACTACACAACTATCCCCAGTTTCCCGTATATATACACTGCCATTCAAAAGTTTGGGATCAGTAAGATGTGTAATGATTTCTTTTTTTTTAAGAGGTCTCTTCTGATCATCAAGGCTGCATTTATTTGATCAGAAATACAGAAGAAATAAAAAAAACATTATTTTAAATGGTAATAATACTTTACAATATTACAGATTTTTTTTTCTGTATTTTTGGTCAAATAAATGCAGCCATGATGAACAGAAGAGACTTCTATAAAACATTAAAAAACTTACTGATCCCAAACTTTTGAACAGCAAAAGGTGGTGGATGTCTTATGAAGTTGAATGGGTAAAAATCTGCTCTTATTATCTTACTTTTGTTCCAGTGAATTTGTTTCGATCACATAACTAACCATCAGCTATTCCCCAGAGTAAATTCAACATGAGGAAAAAGAAATGAAAAAGTGTGTGTATGTGATCACTCATGCATGGATA